CTGTCCCTCAGCTCTTCAGCTCAAGGCTAGCGCTCTACCACTTGAGCCACAGCACCACTTCCAGCTTTTTTCTTTTTGCTTATGTGGGTGCTGAGGAATCGAACCCAGGGCTTCATGCATGCAAGGCAAACGCTCTACCACCGAGCCATCTTCCCAGCCCCTCTATCCTGGAATTTTTCTATCCTGGGATTACCTAGAGCTTTAAAAAAGTGTAGGATCTGATACAAGGGTGGGAGAAAGTCACTTCCAATAGCAGGTGCTTCTAACCACGCGTTCTGGTCTCCAGGTGTGCGACTGCTGCGACAGGACCCCACTGAGTGCCTTTTCTCCTTCATCTGTTCTTCCAACAACAACATTGCCCGCATCACTGGCATGGTGGAAAGACTGTGTCAGTCCTTTGGACCTCGGCTCATCCAGCTTGATGATGTTGTCTACCATGGCTTCCCCAGCCTACAGGCCTTGGCTGGTGAGTAGGTGAACCCCCTAACCTGTTTTGAACAGGGAGAATTGTTTGATTCTCCTCTGGTCACCATCTCCCATCTTAACATTTCCCCATCCAGAGCTGTCCTTTCTAGGAACTCCAGTGGCGCAATCGGTTAGCACGCGGTAATTATACAGAGCTGTCCTTTCTAAACAGATCAGCCCCTGTTCTACCACATCTTCCATATGAATCCCTGAAGTGTCAGCACCACACTAGTCTGGATGTTTGCGAGGAGACTCAGTACCTCTTTATATACAGTGTTCTGTACTTTGGGGTTAAGAATATGCATTCCAGAGACAGACTGCCAGACATGTCCTAGGTCTGTCACTTGGACACATTCTTTAGTATTTCTGTACTCTGTTTCTACACCTGTGTGTGAAATGGGATAATCATAGCACCTGTCAAAGTTGCTGTGAGGAGCCCAGCGCTGGTGGTCCTAGTTATTCAGGAGGCTGAGATCTGAGGATCACAGTTTGAAGCCAACCTGGGCAGCAAAGTCCATGAGACTCTTATCTCCAATTAACCATTGGAAAACCAGAAGTAGAGCTGTGGTACAAAGTGGAAGAGCTCTATTCTTGAGCAAAAAAAGCTAAAGGACAGTGCCAAGGCCCTGAGTTCAAGCCCCACAACTGATTAAAAAAAAAAAAAAGTGGTCTTGAATCTCTGCTCTTAGCTTAGTAGTCATAAGATCCCAAAAATTTCATTCAGCTCTCTAAACCTTTCTTGACTTGTTTGTGTAGAATGGGAATGAATGGTGAATAAAGCAGTCAGGATGCATAGAGTGGGTTAAGAGCATAAGCATTTGGTATCCCAGACCTGACGCAAATTCCCGTCTCTAACATGTCCTGCCTTGAATATCTTCTAAGCCCTCCCTCCTATTCTCCATCGGTAAAATGGGAAAAAGAACAGTATGTCAGCAAGTTCCTCAAGAAAATTAAGTAGGGGGCTCAGTGGTAGAGTGCTTGCCTTGTATGCATGAGGCCCTGGGTTCGATTCCTCAGCACCAAGCAAAAAGAAAAAAGCCGGGAGTGGCGCTGTGGCTCAAGTGGTAGAGCGCTAGCCTTGAGCTGAAGAGCCGAGGGACAGCGCCCAGGCCCAGAGTTCAGGCCCCACGACTGCACCCAAAAAAAAAGAAGAAAATTAAGCAGGGTAATATATGTAAAGGGCATCACCCGTGGGTCTGTCCAGCACTGATGGAAGAACTGATCTGGTATTTTTTTAAGAGTCTTTTAATCATGGGTGTGAACTTTCTTGAGAAAGTCTAAAGAACCAAAGCAGAGAACTCCTGAGCAAAGAGTCTTTCTCAGTTACCATACGAGTAGGTGCTCAGAAAACACACCCATGCAAATGGCCCTGACTCCTAGTGGACAGTAGGGAGGGAGGGACATTCAGGAAAAGCATCTCTGTGCCTGAGGTTTTACAAACGTGCGTGAGGATAGAAAGGCCTGAGGACACCTGACCCCTGCTCTCCTGTCTACTCCCACAGGGCCGGAGGTAGAAGCCCACCTCAGGAAGCTGGGCCTGGGATACCGTGCGCGCTATGTGTGTGCCAGTGCCCGAGCCATCCTCGAAGAGCAAGGTGGGCTGGCCTGGCTACAGCAGCTTCGAGAGGCCCCCTATGAGGAGGCTCACAAGGTCCTCTGTGCCCTGCCTGGGGTGGGCACCAAGGTGAGGCTCCAGAGAGGTGGGAGCTGCCCCTTTCACTCACATAGAGTAGGAGAGTTTGAACAAGGCAGGTCTGCACGTTGTATGGAGGCCTGGCTTCTGAAGGAACAGGAAGGAAAGGATGTAAGCAGATACTTCATTAGAGGAAAAAAAAAAAGGAAGTGGTACTGTGGCTCAAGTGGTAGAGCGCTTGCCTTGAGCTGGAGAGCCCAAGCCCAGAGTTCAAGCCTCACAACTGACAAAAAAAAACAGCAGAAAGGAGACAAAAGGCATTGCTCTTTGAGTGGATTCTCAGAAAAGCCATTTGTATGGTTGCCCACATGTGTTGCTGTATTTATGCAGAAATTTCCAGAAGGAATGGCAGGAAGCTTAGTACTTGTTACCTTTAGGGAGAGAAATAGGAAGATGTTTCTCTTTTCCAGTTTGCCTGCCTCCCCCTCCTCTTCCCCCTTCTCCTCTTCTTCTTCCTCTTCCTCCTCTTCCTCTTTCTCGTTTTCCTTCTTCTCCTCTTCCTCCTCTTTTTTTTTGTTCTTTTTTGGGGGGGGAGGATGGGGGTTGGTCGTGGGACTTGAACTCTGGGCCTGGAGCTGTCCCTGAGCTCTTCAGCTCAAAGCGAGCGCTCTACCACTTGAGCCATAGTACCACTTCTGGTTTTCTGGGTGGTTTATTGGAAATAAGACTCTCATGGTCTTTCCTGCCCTGGCTGGCTTTGAACCACGATCCTCAGATCTCATCCTCCTGAGTAGCTAGGATTACAGGCATGAGCCACCGGCACCCGGCTTCTTTTTTCTTCTTTCTTCTTTTGCCAGTCCTGGGGCTTGAACTCAGACCTGGACACTGTCCCTGAGCTTCTTTTGTTCAAGGCTAGCACTCTATCACTTGAGCCACACTTCCAGATTTTTCTGTTTATGTGGTACTGAGGAATCAAACCCAGGGCTTCATGCATACTAGGCAAGCACTCTACTTCTAAGCCACATTCCCACCCCCCCAGTTTGTTCTTCTCTTGAAATTACACATACCTATAGAACATTGGTTTGATATTAACAGGTTAACTAGTAGTAAGATAATTTGTATTTGGAACTTGTCTTCTTCATAGTTCTCGGTGGTTTAGAAAATGAATTTTTACCTAAGGATTTTTTGGGTTTGGGTTTGGTTTTGTTGGGGGGGTTTTACTTTTTTTTTTGGTCTGTCATGGGGCTCGAACTCTGGACCTGGGCTCTGTCCCTCAGCTCTTCAACTCAAGGCGAGTACTCTACCATTTGAGACACAGCACAACTTCTGGTTTTCTGGTGGTTCATTGGAGATCAGAGTCTCAGGACATTTCCTGCCTGTGCTGTCTTTGAACTGGATCCTCCAGCTAGGATTTACAGGCGTGAGCCACTGGCACCCGGCTGCTTCTATTTTTTAAGGTCTTTTTATGGTACTGGAGATTGAACCTTGCTTGTTAAGCAAGCGCTTTGCCACTGAGCTACAGCCAAGCCCAAAGAACTTTTTTTTTTTTGTCGGTCGTGGGGCTTGAACTCTGGGCCTGGGCGCTGTCCCTCAGCTCTTCAGCT